ACAGTTTTCCCATACACGATTATGTCATCTAAATACACCAGTAGTATATCCCATTGCAATCCAGAGAGAACGTGTTCCATCAGTCTCTCAAATGTTGATGGAGCGTTACACAGCCCAAACGGCATTACCTTCCAGGAATACAGGCCCCCACGCACTACAAACGCCTGTAATCCACGCAAAAGCGCTTCGTCCCGTCCTTTTTTGTGACCAGGACAACATTTGATGCCCATGGGCTCTCCGAATGCTCAATCAGGCCTCTGTCTAACAGGTCCTGCACTTGCTGGTTTATCTGTTCACTGGCCTCCATCGTCTGGCGCCGGGGTTGTTCCTTAATTGGTTGTGCCGTTCCAACATTTATGTGGTGTTTTACTTCGCCAGTTCTCCCTAAGTCGTAATCTCCTCTAGAAAACACATCTTGAAATTCCGCCAAAAGTGATGCAACTTGTTCGTGGTATTTTCCGGCAATGGATGCCACGCTCCGCTGCAACAGATCACTAAGGTGCTCGGGTACTCGTCCGCTGCTAACAGGCGGCTCCTTCCCTGTATGTGTCGATTCGATTTGGTCTTCTAATATTGGTGTTAGCTTGTCAACTGTGGTTCCCTCTCGAAGGACTCGTCGTTCTTTACCGGGGTTAAAAACGCGTAACGGCAGTTGTCCGTCTTCAACCTTCACTACTGTCCTTGCTAGAATTAGGCCATTCTTAGCCAGCTCCTCTTCTTCTTGGTTAGGTTCCACTATTCCTACTACCGGGCAGCTCGTCAACATTCGGGCGAATCCGGTAAGTATGTGTTCATGACCTGGTAATATCACAGTTGTATCTTCTATAATTACGTTCGAATTGAACTTGGTACCTTCGGGTCCAGTAAAACTAATTAATTCCCTTCCAATTTTCATCTGTAGTTTCCCCAGGTCCAATAACGATCCACTTGATGTGAGAACATCCATCCCTAGTAATCCAGCCACTTTTAAATTTGCAAAGATTACTCGAACCGATTGAAATGTCTGACCAATCTGTAGTCTCACGTAGGCACATCCTATGGTCTCTAGTGAGGTCCCATCTGCTTGTTGAAGGTTCCTCTTTGCTCTCTGAAGTTCTGGACATTTTTCTTTGGGTAAGTGGTAATATAAATTGGAGGACAAGACTGAGTCGGAGGCTCCTGTGTCGACTAGTAGGTTAGCCTTAATTCCATTAATTTAGCTGGTACATACAATCCTTCTCTTGGGCTGTAATGTGAGTATGTCCTTTTCTCTGGCCGATTTATTGTGTCGTTGAAGGGGTTCTTCCGCTTCCTTGAGTATTTGATGGGTCCTCGGTTCGTTCCAGCCTTCTCCCGACCCCTGGAGTCGGCTGCACGTCGTTTCCCGATTGACGTGTGTAATTTTCCGGGCAGCGTCGAGCAATGTGTCCCTCCTGTCTGCAATTATAACACCAGTCTTCTCCTCTGTTGCCACATTTTCCCGTCCTGCCCAGCCGGGGTTTCGGGTACTGACGTCGCCTGTTTTGAACGCAGGTTTCCCTCTATACGTCTCATCCAATCTGCTATTTTTTTCTCAAACGCCACCTGCCTTGAATCTTCCTCCGGTATAAGCCTGTCTCTTATACACATCTAGATGTGTATAAGAGACAGACGATGTGGATCTAGCATGGTTGCCAAATTCTGTGGATAACGCTGCACGTATGGCTTCGTCTAGAGTGGAAGGCGCCGCTCGGAATATCCCTTCTCTTATTTCCGGTCTTCCTACTGCCTCCATATAGTGCCCCTTCGCTAAGCGTTCCACTCCGGCTTCATCAAATTCAGGATATGCCAGGTATGCCAACTCTCGAACAGCTTGTCCTAGCTCTTGAAGGCTCTCCTTTGGTCCTTGCCTCCTTAATCGTAATGTCATTAGATGGTTTTCTGCTTTCCGTCCGGGTCCAAATCGTTGCTCCAAAGCATCAAGTATTTCTGTGTAAGTTATTTCCCGTCCTTGGCTAGCCCCCAGAACTTTCAGGGCCTGCCCCTTCAAGCTTGCCTTCAAGAATGCCCCTGCCTGCTTGTCAGACCATGCATTCGCTGCTTTACATGCTTCAAAATGTTGGGCGTAGTCCCTCCATGGCGTCTTCCCCTCGTACCTATCTGGAGTAATTATCGGTTTTCGAAAATCGCTGCCAAATCTCTGAGAAAACGCTTCCTCGCCAACTACCCTTGGCTCCCTAGTTAAGGGCCATGGCAATGAGGATGATGTTGGATGTTCCGTCTGTGTCGTCCCTCTCTTTTCAGTCGACTGGGCCATTGGTGGTCCAGCCGAAGGTAGGCTTGAAGCTCCTGCTTCCTAATATTCCATTGTTTTCGTGGGGTAGGTTCGGCTAACAGCGGGCATTGGCCTAGCGTCTGTAGGCCCAGTTCTGCTAATTCCTGTAGGCCTAATCCACGGCGTTGAATTATATCCAACAGGTGGTCCTGCTTGGGCACTACTTTAGTAAGTTGGGCACCAGATAAGTGTGTTTAGTAGTAATAAATTAATATTAAATAACCTGTCTCTTATACACATCGTTCCTCATCCATGGTGTTGAATTATATTCGGCACTTGTTGCTAATGGATTCATGTCACATTGGCCTGGTAGGCCTTCCATATTTGTCTCTCTCATCTCCATGCCTGAAAATTTTATCTCGCCCTCCAACCACTGTATCTCCTGCCTCAAACATTCCAATGAATTTTCCATTCCTGGCCATGATTCCCTAGAGAAATCCATGCGTGTAGGCAAAATGATAAATATTCCTTGTGAGGGTAATCACTCACTTAAATTCGTCA